GTGAACTCATTTGAGAGTACCCAGACCAGCTCACTGCACTGACTTCCTCTAATTACTGGAAGTGTCAGTAAGGATAGACCAGTAGAGCCTGGGTTCTAGAAGGATTGCTGCTCCCCCACACAGAAAGAATGCCAGACTGTCAGCCCCAGGAAAAGGAGGCCCTGGTTGTCTGTCTGAATGGCCAGCAGTGAAGGTGGCAGGAAGCAATCCCAGGGATGCTGCTGGTGTCTCTGCACATCCATCACTTCCCTGGCTCTTGCTTTGACTGGCATCCCCAGTCACATGGGGAGTGGGTAAGAAAGGTTAGGGAATGGATTCTATAGAGGGGTGTAATGGCAGAGAAAAGACAATTTGAGACTGGTTCATGGCTAGAAAGATGGCAGAGATGCAGACAAACATCTCTTACAACTTCATCATTCTTAGAGCTGTTTCAGAGGCCCAGAGACAAAATCCTCAGAGACCCCCAAGTCTCCACCTCCTGCCTCTTCACATCAGCACCACCTGCCAGCAGACACACAAGGGTTAATTGTCCCCAACAAAGCTGCCAATTGATTGCTATCAGCTGACAGAGACAACAATCTAGGCTAGACCCAGAACCACAGTCAAAATGCCAAGGTTCCCACAGTTCTTTCCACTCTTACCCTGCTTCAGGCTATTTACCTACCAGCTGGCTTGTATCCCTCACACACATCTGACCAGGAGCCAGGCAAGGCGTTCACTAGACTTCACTCTTCACCAGCCCAGCCAAAGTAAATACCTGATAAACTGGCCAATGGCTGGGCGAATAGCCTGGAAATGGAGGTATCATGAAGGGACTATGTGATGGACATGGCTTTGGGAGGCCACTACTGTGTGATGGACATGGCTGGGGCAGGCCACTCCTATTTGATGGACATGACTGGGGCAGGCACTCCTGTTTGATGAACATGGCTAGAGCAGGCCTCTTCTATGTGATGGACATGACTGGGTCAGGCCACTCCTGTATGATGGACATGGCTAGGGGGGCAGGCCACTTCTATATGATGGACATGGCTGGGGCAGGCCACTCCCGTGTGATGGACATGGCGCGGGCGCAGCCCTCCTGTGTGATGGACATGGCTTGTGCAGGCCACTTCTATATGATGGACATGGCTGGGGCAGGCCACTCCCGTGTGATGGACATGGCTGGGGCAGGCCACTCCTATTTGATGGACATGACTGGGGCAGGCACTCCTGTTTGATGAACATGGCTAGAGCAGGCCTCTTCTATGTGATGGACATGACTGGGTCAGGCCACTCCTGTATGATGGACATGGCTAGGGGGGCAGGCCACTTCGGTGTGATGGACATGGCTGGGGCAGGCCACTCCCATGTGATGGACATGGTTGGGGCTGGCCACTCCCGTGACATGGTTAGGGTAGACCACTTTTGTATGATGGACATGACTGGGGCAGGGAAGCAGCAGATGCTGACCCCAAGGAAAACAGAACAAGGAGGCCCAGCTCTGAAGGCCGGTGGGTGAACACTTACTATGACTCCCAAACTGGAATTCCCGGAGCCACAAAGCAGGTCCAGGAGGAGTCTGGCAGGATAAGGGTCCCCTAAGGTGCTCTGTACACCCCTCCTCCCACTTGCTCCACTCTCTACAGTCAACCAGCACTTCAAAGACACATTTGCTAACGGTACACTTGGACATTAAGTTTCATATTGGGACAAGAACGTTAGGAACTTAGAAAGTTGAGAATCATGAAGTGATGGCCCTTACTGAGCATCCACTTATGCCTGGCTCTGAGCAAATACTTTGTTTTGATTGTTTGGGGGTTTGGTTTTGTTTTGTTGAGACAGGTTCTGTGTAACCTAGGCTGGCCTCGGACTTGATATATAATTAAACCTGGCCTTGAACTCCTGGTCCTCTTCCCTCCACCTCTAGAGTGCTCAGATTATAGGTGTGCACCACCATGCCTGGCTCTGAACACAGGTTTTTCAAACATTCAACTCATAACCAGTACATGAAAACAGAGCAGTAGTATCAAGGACTCTCCACTTGTCACCATGCTGCATAGACAAGGGCAGCTGAGGTGGCTCTTGATTTCTAAGCCTGGAGGTGTGGCTCAGGGTTAGAGTGCTTTGCCTAGCATTTGTGAGGCCCTGGGTTTAATCTCCAGCACTACAAAATTATACACACATATATACATCTGAAATGTACAGCAGCTCCCTGCTCAAGGGCCAGGAGCAGGGCCCACCTCCACCCTCCCCAGGGGATCCCTAGGGTCTTTACTCATGGCCCTCTTAAAACCTTCCACTTGAGCTCCATCTTCTATGGAAGGAAAGCTAGAGGAAGGTCAGGCTGCGTGAAATTTGAGTAGGATTAAAAGCAGAGCTGAGATGACTCTGAAAGACTGCCCAGTCAGACCCTGTTAGGTGGGGAAACAGGTCTAATGAGGGAAAGCAATTTCTATGGTCAGCAGCTTGGAGCAATGTGTTGAAAGGAGTCTAAGAAAGGAGCCCGTAGCTGGAAGTTGACTAACAAGAGCAGCCACAGCCTGGCAGGGAAGAAGGGTGGACCCTTATTCCAGCTCCACGTGGTCCTGGCCGCCGCACTGTCACAAAGACAGTGCAAATTGAGAAAAGCTGCCTTTTGTGAGCAGCACAAGTGCAGGTAGACTGGACATCCAACACCCCCGCACACATGGTGCTACTGAACACAACTTGCACAGTGGTGCCAGGCAGTCCTGAGTGTGACACACAGGGGGCCCTCAAGAGCCTCAACTTTTCTCCAGTTCCCCCACTATTGATTTACAATTCTACCAAAGGGGTTCATGGCCATCATCCCATCTTTTATGCAAGGAAATCACTTTTCAATGCTAAAAGGTTGACATGAAATACAAAGATAGCCCTTTATTGGTGTTCTGAAGTCTTGGATAAGGGTTGCAGTGCCACTGCAGTGTGGGCTCCATCTCTCCTTACCTTCATAAGCACTGTGTGCTTATTCCTAAACAGACCGTGGGGACAGGAATAGGATACTCAACCAAGCAGGTTCCAAAATTCCTATATTATCCTGGGCTTGGAAACCTGCATGAGGTTGTGTGCCCTTCTCAGGTGTTTATGGGTAACTAAGCTCTCCAGACCTGTTTCCCAGATAATTCCAGTCATAGAAATAGTCACCCAGCTCTTTATACTGAAAAAGCTCCCTAGAAGACCCCTAGGACCCTCCTCACTCCATACCAGAGGCCACCAAGCAGCCACACCCCCTCCCTCATGTTTTCCATCTCCTTCTGTACCTACCGTGCATCCTGGCTCCCAGCTGGGTCCCCTCCTGCCTACTCCTCCCTCTGCACTGCTTTCTGCAGGGTCTTCCAAAACCTCCCACAGGCTCCTCGTAGTCCTCAAAATCTGACCCAGTCTTCCTCATTCCTGCCTCATTCATAAACTTTGACCACATGTTAGTTAGCCAGGCCAAGTACACACTGCTCACACCTCCAGGCTGTGCTCACAAGCCTCCCTAGGCCTGCAGAGCCCAGCCTAGCATCACTGCCTCAATCCCAAGGCCTACCTAGGATCTGATCCCCAAAACTTGCCAGCCACACCATTCAAGGGAGTCAGGAAGACCCAGGCTGAGGACAGACCTTTCTTAAGACCCTCTAGAAGCAGGAGGCTGTGTTCTGGAGACAGCTGGATATGAAACCAGTAGGGTGTCCACTCTAAGCCTTTGACCTCCTCAACCCAAGTATATTAACTCCTATTTACAAAGTTTTACTGCCAATCCACATATTAAATATCAATGTTACGAGACAAATTGTGCCTCCCCTCCCCAAATTCCTATGCTCTAACTTACAATGTCACTGCATTTGGAGCCAGTCTTGACAGAATAATTAATTTAGAATATGATCACTAGAATGGACCTCAGTGCCATGACTGATGTCCTTAAACAAAGAGGAAACTTGGACTCAGGTGCATAGGAAAGAGCATGTGAGGACAGAGAAAAGAGGCCGTCCATATTCAGAGGAGAAATCCACCCTGCAGACACATTGATCTTGAACTCATTACCTCAAGAACTGTGAGATAAGCGTCTGTGTTTAAGACAGTTTCTACAGTATCTTGCCATTGTGGCCCTAGCCAAAACTAAAAACAGCAAGACCTAATTTCTTTCTTTCACTCTTTAAGCTGAAATGACTATGAATAGGCCTATCTAGGCTTTTCTTTCAAACAGAACTTTAGAGGAACTATCACAGGCAGGTGCGAGGAGCTTCAGCAGGGCTGGATTTTAAAGTTCAGGCCATATGGAAGCTAGGGGAAAGGGTGTGTGTGTGTAGACCTCTGCACATCTCCCTGATGGGTTTGGGCTATGGGGAAGCAATCTAAAAGGCAGGAGTCCCCAGTACCAAAGGGGCAGATCCGTCACACACCAGCCTCTGGGAACAGACTCCTCTGGTCAGTGTTTGTCAAGTTCTTCCAATCCTAAGCATTGCCCAGAGTCCCTGGGTCCCACCCAAGGAGTTGGGCAATGGGCCCAGAACTTGTTTCTTAGATCAGCCAGGTGATTCTCAGAACCAGATGCCATTTGAGAAACTGTAGCCAGGCTATGAGCCACCAGGAGGCGGTTTGTCGCCGGAGTGTGTACAAGGCCTTTGCATCCCTACAATGCTGGAGAGGAGAGGCCTGCCAGCATCCAGGCCCTGGTACCTCCACCCCGGAGGAGCCCTGTCCCAACCCCCATTCCCCAGTACTCAGCTGAAGGTGACTAGAGCCCACTGCTCCTGTCAATACTGTATTTATCCATCTGTGTATTATGCCCTGTGTTAGTTCTTTGAATCAATAGGCGGGTGGAAGAAGCTCATGTGTTTGCAAAACGAGTAACTCTGCGGAGTCCTGGACGCTTTTTTTTTCCTGGGCGTGGCCAGTTCGTGACTTTTCTCTCAAGCTCTGAGCTCCGGCGAGAAGGCCAGTTTCCCCGCTCCCACCGCCTCCTCCCTGGGGTCTGCGCCCCAGCTCCCCTCCGAGCCCCGCCTTCCTCGGCTCACCCAGGCCGGCAGGTGCCGGCCCCGCAGCTCGCGGCTGATGAACTCGCGCTCGTGGTCCAGGAATTCGAAGGCGGCCTCCAGACGCCCCAGCTTCCCGCGGCGGTTCCTGCGCCACCACATCCAAAGCAGGACGCCGAGCAGCAGCCAGGTGATGCTGAACCCCAGGTAGCCGGCCAGGTACACGGGCGCCAGGTAGAAGAGCACGCGCGTCACGAAGGCGTAGAGCTCCGGCAGTAGCTGGCCGGACAGGCGCAGCTCGGCGCCGCGCGGGGGCCGCTCCTGCGTGCAGGGGCCGCGGGACGCTCCGGGGGCACACGGCTCCTCCGCGGCCATCTCGGGGTCGCCCTCCGGCTCTCCAGAAGCTTCACCTGAACTGACGCATGAGCTCTCCACTGCCGGGGAACATCTGTCCTCAGCGCGCCAGGACCCCAGAGCCCCGCGGCTCCTGCTCTGTGCCGTTCGCCCGCGCCTCTCTGCGCTCTCGCCGGCCCTGGAAAGCGATGTCAGGGACCAGCAGACCTGGGCGGAGCCCGCGACGACAGCGAAATCCGGAAGTCTCCGCCACCAGGGGCGGGCCCAGGTGCAAAGGGGTGGGGTCAGGCTGCTGCGGCTCTGAGGGTGCTCTTGGACCTCAACGTTTGGCATGGATGTCAGCAGGAGTGGTGCAGTCGCTCTTTGGGGTGGGCTAAGAACTGCTTTAGACATGTGCAAAACTGGCTTACCTGGATGAACATAGCCTAAAACCTGTTTCTTAAACCCAGCATTCTCCAAACTTGGTTGAGCATTCAAGGCCCTTCAACAGATGACAGACCAACCCCGGGGTGGACCTGAAACCCGAGTCTGGGCCCTCTAGCTGGTCTTTAGAGTTAGTGACGCTGCCCCCTCTTAGGGAATCTGTTAAGTCTGGACCTACCCCTCACCCCCAGCCCAGCCAAACAGAGTTTAGGGCCCTTTCTGTGCTCCTCAATCTGCACTACTTTCGTAACCCTCTCTGCTGGGAGGTGGGGGGTGGGATCAGTTTGGATCATCACTCCCTACACCACTAGACTGGGAGCTTCTAGGGGCCAGGCAGTCCTGCTTATCTGTAGGGCACCCAGAAAGGGCCAGTGACCTGTGAGTGGAAAAACAAGGTGCTTGGGAATCGTGGAATCCATGGCTTCTGCGTAACACTGTCTGAACAACCAGACTAGGGGGAGCAGAGTGCTGAATCTAAATTCAATGAATCATCCTGTGGATGGCACTCATTCATTGTACCTGGGCTTAAAAGAGATTACATCAATAACCAGAACGTGAGTTTGGAGTCGACAGGAGTACTGGCTTGACTTGGAATGGTTCCACACACTTTGAACACTTTCATTGAAAGGCTGAGCCCTCGTGGACAATCTCTCTTCCTTTGTTCCTGCCCTGTTCTACAGGTCCTCCCTCCCCTCTGGATGAAATTACTTGTTCCTGGTGCCTAGAGAGATAGTTCTGTGGTTAAGAGTGATTACAGCCCTTGCAGACGTTCTGAATTTGGCTCCCAGAACCTATACCAACAGGCTCACCAACTCCAACTCCAGGGGATCCAACACCCTCTTCTGGCCTCAATGGGCACCTACACACACACTGTGGAGACACACATACGTATGCATAATTAAAAATAAAAATAAATCTAAAAGAAATTACTTGTTGTGTGGGAACAACTTTAATCTTGTAATCAAAAAGTTAATTTATGCTTCAAGATCACTTAGTGTTATCTCAGCTTGTTTATGTTGTAAACAAGCTTACTAGGTTTTGGACTCCTCTTGAAACCTAAATATACAGCCCTCCTGACCTTTCCTTGCCTTTGACCCAGAATAATGTATGTGCGTGATGTGTATTGTGACTATCAAATACTGCAGGCAGTGAATATTCATCAAAAGCAGTAGATTGCCCCCCTTGTACTGCAAACAACAGGAGGGATTAAGTTGATAACATCTGTATGTTCTGTTGTAGGTCAGTAAGGGGTCAGAAAGGGAAAATTCTTCCACTTTCCTTCCCCATTTTATGCTGGATATACTGTTTCAATAAATAGAGAGCAAGGCCTTTGTTTGAGAGCATAGTTCTGAGAGAAATATGAAGGAACAAGTTCTCAGAACATATTGGGTCCCATTTTTGCTTTAAACAGATGCTAAGAATCAGGCTGTCTTTGTTTAGGCCTCTCTGTAATGTCGCGTCACTGCATTGCTGTAATAAGTTTTTCAACAATGGTTATGTTTCTCCTCTTCTGTTCCTGGCCTTCCAAGCCTCAGGTGACCCCAGGAAATCAACCTAAACACTGCTCACTCTAGTTCCTTTTTGGAGTCACATGTATCTTATTAAAGTTTCTGAAAAGTTCTTTTTTGTTTGTCTGTTTGTTTGTTTTGTTGTTTTGAGGCAGGATCTCACTACAAAGCCCTGGCTGGCCTGGAATTGCCTATGCAGACCAGGCTGGCCTAGAACTCACAGAGAGCCACCTGCCTCTGCCTTCTGGGTGTCGGGAATAAAGGCATGCACCACCACACCTGACTAAAGTTTCTGAAAAATTCTACAGATAAAAACTATTAAATATGGCTTATTCCAGTGCTTCTGCAATTTGATTACTGAACCCATTCCTCAAGATATTTCTCTATTGGTTGGCCCAGGTCAACAGAAGATGTAAGAATATATTAAGAATTTAAGGGGCTGTAGGGAAGTCACAGGATATATATTTGAGTGTGGACTTCTCGGTGCAGCTGTAAATGGGGGGGTGGGGGGCACCTACTCTTCGGTAAATAAACCCCCACCATGTACTCGTTAGCAAGCAAGCACAATAAACTTGTTAGGATTTTCAAAAAAAAAAAAAAAGAACAGAGCTAAGGGAAACCTTCATTGTTCCACCAACGTTGACCCCGTGTTGGCAAATCCTTTGGTCTTTGATTTCTTATTCCTATTTTTACCCCTTTAAACTTCATTGTGTGTGTATATGTATATATACATATACCTGCTTCAAGTTATTTCTGGAAAAATGCGTTAAAAATTTCCTCTTTGGAATAATAAAAAAGTAATAATAATAATAATAATAATAATAATGAATATAAAGATGTCTCCAGAGACCTGAAGCAGAAGGAGCTGGCTGTTAGGAATCATGGAGCAGGAAGTTACCTGTCAGGACTTTGCTCCTCATCCGTTTGCCTCGTCCCTACAGAGCACTGCAACCTTCCCCGCAGTGTCCAGCTCTGGAGGGCACAAGTCCAGAGAGAGTGCCTTTACCCTGTTTTACTGCCAAGCCTCTAGGGGAGAGGCTGCAACTGCACTTATCAGCCACTCCACTTTTCATACTCACCAAACTCACACCTCACATACCACCTTGCTTAGTGCATTTGCAGAGAGGATAATGGGGGAGAGTGTTGCCATGGAAACAACGTGGTTGGTTATGAATGGGATCTCACCAAGACAGATGTACAGCATTGAGACCTGTGGATATCCTTTGGGACTTTGCTACCTCAGCTGCATGGCTTTTTTCTGTTCCTGAGAACACCAAGTTCATTCCCACATCAAAATTTTCCCAGTCCTCTCCCTAGAGTGTCCCTCTCCTACGTCTACTGCACAGTACATTAGAGTGGTGAGAATAGGATTAGATTCTTCCACACTTCTAAACTCTATAATGTCATTAAACTACTTTTATAAATTAAATACATGAGAATATTGCCAATGAGACATCTAAGATTTCATACCCTACTTGAGGTGAAGTCTATGCTGAGAACATTGACCATATTATTTTCCTTAACCTGGACATCTAGTTACTACATCCCATAAAACATTCTATGGATTGCTTGAACACAGCACAATCCAGGGAGAATGGTACCATCCAGAGCTTTTGCCTGCGTGCCTTAAAGAGTTCATCACATCACACACCAGCTTTTCAGAGAGCAGCAGCTCAAATGTTAATTGGCTACTGTTGTGGGTTGAGCTGTATTCTCCCAAAAGCTATGCTAAGGTCCTAACCCTTGTGACCCAAGAATGGTCTTATTTGGAAGTACCTTTACAAGTATAATCAAGTTGAGATCAGGCCAGAATAGGGTAAACCCTGAATCCCTTTTAAGAAAAGGGAATTTTTAGGGTGGAAAAAAATAGCTTAGTCAGTAAAGGACCTAAGTTCAGATTCCCAGCACCTGTGTAAAAAGCTGGGCATGGGGCAAAAGGTGTCTATAACTCAGTGTTAGGGGTGGGCAGAGACAGGTGGATGACTGAAGCTCATTGGCTGACCAGTCTAGGTGAACTCATGAACTGCAAGTTCAGTGAGAGAACCTGTCTCAAAAAATAAGGCAGAGGGCCTGGAATGGTGGCATATGCTTGAAGTCCCAGCACTGAGGAGGCAGAGGCAGATAGATGTCTGTGAGTTCAAGTACAGTATGGTCTAAGTATAGAGTTCCAGGCCAGCCAGCTTTGCATAGTGAGACCCTCTCTCAAAATAAAATAAGGTGGAGAGCAATCAAGGAAGACAATTGAAGTCTCCCTCTGAACACACACACACACACACACACACACACACACACATGAATACACACCACACACACTACACACAAAAAAGGAAAGGGAATTTTGCACATAGAGATACAGAAGAGACACAGAAAGAGAAGCCATGTGCAGATAGAAGCTGAATTGGAGTGATGTAGCTACAAGTCAAGGCAGACGCTGGCAGGGAAAAATCTGCTTTCATCTAATTTATTTGATTTTTAAAATTTTTAACTTAATTTTTAAACATCTTTTGGATGTTTTATTTACTTAAGTATTTTTAAATTCGTGTGTGTGTGTGTGTGTGTGTGCCTCCTGTGTGCAGATATCCACAGAGGCCAGAAGAGGGTGTCATTACCCTGGGGCTGGAGTTGCAGGTGGTTTTGAGTCTCCTGATGTGACTGCTGGGAACCAAACTCAGGTCTTTTTGGAAGAGCAGTAAATGCTTTTAACCACTGAGCCATCTCTCCAGTCCCAACATACTTTTATTTTAATATTTTATTTATTATTTTTATTTTATGTATGTGTATTGCCTGCACGCATGTAAAGTGCACCCATGTTGTGCAATGCCCGCAGAGGTCAGAAAATGTCATCAGATACCCTGGAACTGAGTTATAAAGGGCTGTTAACCACCATGTGGGTTCTGGGAACTGAACCAGGGTTCTCTGCAAGAGTAGGCAATGCTCTTAACCATTGAGACAGGACAGTACTACTATATACAATAACTAGTTTACACTAGTTCCCACTGTTCAGCTCTGTGGTTCCTATTCCACTTTCTGTCTTGTTTGTTTGTTTGTTTGTTTTCGAGACAGGGTCTCCCTGTAGCCCCAGCTGGCCTGGAGCTCGCTACATAGACCAGGCCACCCTTGAACTTTCAGAGATCTGCCTGCCTCCCCCCGCCCCCCCCCAAGCCCAGTGCTGGGATCCAAGGTGTGTGCCATCACACCCAGCTCCCACTTACTATCTTTAATAGCCTCACGGTCTCTGTATCTCCTCCTAAGTGAGGTCATTCATTCTTTTCTCTCTTCTGTGGCTGGTTTGTTTTGCTTAGCTGCAAAGCTCATTCATATGGTGCCACGATATCCTTGACATTTTGTTTTGTGTTGTGAGGTGGGGTTTGACAATGTGGCCCAGGCTAGCCTCAAATTCCTGGATTCAAGAGATCCTTCTGCCTAGGCTTTCTAAGTGGCTGGGACTTCAAGCATGCACAACCGCACTCACACTGTCTTATGTTCTTGCTTTATTAATATTTTTTCCTTACTTTAAAAAAATATTTTAGTTATTTTTATTTATTTTTTTATTTTTTGTCTTTTTGAGACAGGGTCTCCCTGCAGTCCCTGCTGGCCTGGAACTCACTATGTAGATCAGGTTGGCCTTGAACTCATAGAGATTCACCTGCCTTTGCCTACAAAGTGCTGGGATTAAAGGCATACACCACCATGACCGGCCTTTTATCTATTATTTTTATTTTATGTTTATGAGTGTATTGTCTGCAGGTACGTGAGTGCACCCATGTCATGCAATGATCACAGAGATCAGAAGAGGGCTTCGGATCCCCTGGGACTAGAGTTAATATAGATAGTTGTTAGCCACCATGTGGGTGCTGGAATTCAAACCAGGGTCCTCCACAAGGGTAGCCAGTGCTCTTAGCCACTGAGCCATCTCTCTAGCCCTTTGTCCTTCCTTTTATAGACTAATAGTTTCTGTAAATTATTGTAGCTTTGGTTTTCCAGCCTACTTGGTTAGTTAATGTAAAATTTTTTCTACTCTCTTCCATTTTACTCTCCAGGGCTTAAAATAACTCTTTGAAGTCTTCCTATGGCCAGAAGCAAGCTATCTCTTCGATCTCCAACAGCTCTGCTGTCAGCAGAGACTCTCTACCAGAGTCTTCTCATGCACTGGTGTCAGAAACAGATTACTCTGTTTCACGCACAGTTTGGTTTCATTGAACAGAGATATTTACCAGGTCCAGCCCTGCTACACAGCTGAATATTGCTCCTCAAATTCCTCTCTGAAGAACTGTCAGGATACAGGATCATGTCCCGAACATCCTCCCAGAGCTGCAGACACCAGTGTGGTTAGCTGTGTTCAACAGGAACTGTCACAGGTCTCTCAATTTACATAGACAGTGAAGCTCATCTCCCTGGAGAGGGGGGCATCCCAGTCATTACTGTCACCACGCTGTGAATGCCAGCGCTATCAAATCTACGAACTGGTTCTGCAGGGCAAGGGTCAAGTGAGAAAAAGGGAAATCTCCTGCCCTCAGTGCCCTTCTGTAGGTTAGAGGTAGCCTGTTGCAGATCTAGAGAACTTCTACCTCCAACCCTTAGGATCCAATCTACTGAGACTGTGTTTCACATCCCATTGTTTTAATATATATATATAAGATTTTAAGATTTTCTCTTTTAAAAACCAGTTGTGTTTTCTAAACTAATTATGAAATTGTTTTCAAGAAATTTTTCAATCTGTCTAAATGTACTGGAATAGATGTCTCCCAATTGGCTGGTTCCTCCAGTGGGCGGGGCCTGACACGGAGGGTGGACTACAATTGGACAGAAGCCAGGAACTTCAGGTAGCTTGCATGGTGTGGGGAACGTGCAGCCAGCCGCAGCAGCTCAAAGACAGAGTGGACTGACTCTTGTGGACCTGGGGCGAGATTGCTTGCCCCTGAGGAGTGAGCGAATGCTAGTGGGGACTATGGTAGTGGTGGCATGGTCTGATATGGCGGGCTCTGAGCTGTGGCACTGGAGGCGTGGGGCTAGGCACTGGGTTCTCATTCCTTTGTAAATTAATAAATGCACATAAAATATATTATATGGTTTGTCTGATAGTGCA